AAAAACAGAGTTAACGTTTCAGGTCCGGTGACCGGTTCTGAGGAAGGATCACCGGACCCAAAACGTTAACTCTGTTTTTTCCTTCACAGATGCTGCCAGACCTGCTCAGCTTTTCCAGCAACTTTGTTTTTGTTCCTGATTTATAGCATCCTCAGTTCTTTTGGTTTTTATTGTGAATTCATTTGTCTTTTGTTTGTAATTTTAACTATAGTGTTTAAATAAATTGTGTCTTGCTTAATGTTGAGTGGTTTGACCAGTAGAACCACATCTGGAACACGCACTTCACACCTACCTTTCAAAGATGATAAAGTTAGGGTCTAGGCTAACTCTTAATATATTTTGAGAGGGTCTGATTTGGTCCATAATACCCTGTTCAAGTTTACACTCTGTTTACCTTATGTTCTCTTTATGGTTCCAGTGAACCACAAACATAATAACCACCATAAAAATTACATTATAAATTCAGAAATATGTTGTAGAAGCAATTTGAATTTGATATTGTAATACCTCAAGAAACAGATATATTGGTCATGATGCACTGATGTGATAGATTCAGGTACAACACACCTGATATGGATTTTCTACCATTACATGTGTGCAGAGCTTTTTAATTATTGCAATCACTGCAGGGTCTGTGTCTTTTATTCTTTCTTTGTTATGAGGGTGTTTTTAAAAGAAACAGTTGTCATTGTGTTGTGCTGCCTTGAGGATAGAAAAGTTGATTGCATAAGCTTGATTCTCAATTTTAGACTTGACACAAGCTCAGGCCTCTGTGGACTGCTTGCTAATGGCCCATGGATGACCGTCCATCTTATTTTTCTTCCAGAGCTATATTGACTTGTTTTATTTTTATGAATGTCTCCTAGCAATGTAAGTTGTTCACTTCCAGTCCCTTGAAGCTGCCATTCTCAGATTTTCTTTATTTCAGATCTCTCTACATCAATTTGGTCGGCCTGTGGATAATAGCCATTTGTGCAGTATTTACCGGTCTCACTATGTACTCTGTTTATCACCAATGTGATCCCCTGACTCGGAAAAGAGTCAGAGCGTCAGACCAGGTAAGCTGTCAGCAGCGAGGTCATGGAGTATCCTTACAGCTCATGAAGACATGTGGCCCACTGGGTTCACACCAGGTCTCTGTGGTGCAATGCAGTCAGTCGTATTCCCCTGCTCCATGACCAAATAGCCTACGAGTTACCTCTGTCAAGTGACTAACGAGTCTTTTGTGAAATCATTGATCATTTCACCTTCCTCTGAAGCAGTGAATTCCAGGTGATTACCACTTGGTACACTAAACAGTTTGTCCCAATATCTCTTACCCTTAATTCCGTGTCCTCTAGTCTTGGTGTCATCAACTAATGGCAAAAGCTTTACTTTGCCCACCATATTAAACATTCATACTTCTTTAAGTCCAACTTTGCTCCAATCCCGCTTTCTCCAACTTAACCCTGTAGCTAAACTCCCCCATCTCTGATGAATTCTGGTAAATGTCCTCTGTACTTCTGAAGTACCTTAACAGTTTTCCTCCTGTGTGGAGACCATAACTGGACATATTACTCTAACTGCAGTCTGACCAGAGATATATTAAAGATTCAGTGTAATTGTTCCTGCTTTTTAATTTAACACTTCTGTATGAAGCTCAAGATCCCATTTGCTTTACTTAATACAGTTTCAGCATTTCTTGCCGGCATTCAAAATTTATGCACATGAACCCCCCAGGCCCTTCTATCTATGCCCTCTCTTTAAATTGCACCACCACGTACGTGTACATTTACCCTCTCCATATGTTCTGTGAAAATGCATCGCCTCACACTTCTCTGTATTAAATTTCTTCTGGCCCACTCTGCCTATTCTGCAAGTCATGTTGCAATCAATTGGTATCATCCACATTGTTTGCCATTGCTCCAAGTTTGGTATGTTCCAACAATTGGTGAAGTTTTGCGCAAATGTCAGGTCAAACACTGAATCTGAAACTGACTCTTGGAGGACACCACTGTGGAGTCTGAGAAATAACCATTAACAACTAAAAACCGAAGAATTCCTGATGCTGGAAATCAGAAACAAAACGAGGAATCGCTGGAAAATCTCAGCAGTCTGGCAGCATCTGTGGAGAGAAAGCAGAGTTAACATTACGGGTCTGTTCTGAAGTATGGTCACTGAACCCATAACATTCTTCCTAGCAGAGAAACTATATTTTACTTCTGACCCTGGTCAGGTCTCTAAACTGCCCTAAATTTTAATCTCAGTTTTCTAAGTTGAAATCAACCCATATTCTGAGCCATTCTTAAATGTTTACACTTCTTGTCATAAATCATTACAGTATAAACAATCTTCCACGAACACTCCAGGGATTCCCACTCTCTAACAAATACTGAATTAGGTCACTGTTCCGGAATGGCTTTCTGAACTCTTCTTTTAAAAAATAACCTTCACAAAAGTTACCCACTGATATGCTATTGTTTTGAAATATAAATGCTACTGTTGTAAATGATATTAGTATATATTTCATATATAAATAAATCACGCACCTCTCCCTACAATCCAGTCCCACCCACTGTGGTTAACCATCACCTATTTCCAGCTTAAAATGTAACTGTAAACTGATTTATGTGAGAGCCAACTGAAATTCCTAAGACTCTGAAAGGAAAGTAATGCCAGAAATATCCCTCAAGTGCAGATGGGACAAATAAATTCCCCTAGAAAGAACCTTAAGTGAGGACCAATTACTGTTCCACAGGAATATCCCATAATTGTGGAATAATTTGGAGATGTAGATAGTGCGGCACGGTGCGTCAGTGGTTAGCATTGCTGCCTCACCGCGCCAGGGATCCCAGTTCGATTCCACCCTTGGGCGATTGTCTGTGTGGAGTTTGCATGTTTTCCCTGTGTCTGCATGGGTTTCTTCCAGGTGCTCAGGTTTCCTCCCGCAGTCCAAAGATGTTCAGGTTAGGTGGATTGGCCATACTGAATTGCCTGTAGTGTCCAGGGATGTGCAAGTTAGATGGATTAGCCATGAGAAATGCTTGGGATGGTGTGGACTTGTTGGGCCAAATGGCCTATTCTCACACTGTAGGAAAAAAATGAGTCCATCTCAGTCTCTATTCATGTGGTAATCTTGCGGAATCCCAACCAGTACTTGTTCAAGGGACACATCTAACTGGTTCAAACTGAAGTTACAGGTGTACAAGATGAGTGTGGAGAAGACCCAGCTCATTTCCAGGTTTTGGATTTTGCTTCGGATTTTCACTTGACAGACTGAGGCAGAGAGTTTTCTTTCAGGAAGACTGGACTGTTCTCCAAAAAAATGCAATGTGTAAAGTTTGGGTTTCATAGTGGTTGTAACGAAGTTAGCCAGGTGGACCTCATAGAATAAGAGGTCCCTAATTGGGACGGTTAATCTTGTCTAATCAAGAAGCCTTGGCTGACAGATATAAACAACAATGTCAAAGGTTCTGCTCACTCTGAGCGAGGTGGATCAGTGTCAACGAGTCTTCATGTGTAAATAAAGGGTGACTTGGTAACTGGATACTGGCCTCTGTGGAGTTATTTCAGTGGTGACGAGAGAAAAGAATGCTCCTGAAGAAATTTGCTTGTAACAGTCTTTGAGTCGGGGTAAGAATTTATGGCACATCAAGCCTTTATTTAGGAAGCTTGACCCATTCGAACCTGATGCCGAAGACTGGGCCCAGTGTGTGGAAAGTATGTGTTATTTTTCTGGGCAAATGACTAAGGCAGATGAAAAGCAATGAGTAATTTACCTGACAGCTTGTGGACGTGCAGCATTTTCGATTATTGGGAGCCTAACTATCCCTAAGGCACCAGGTACTAAAACCTTTCAAGGGTTAATGGATTTAGTTAAGGGATATTAGAACCTCAAGCCTCCTCTAATTCTGAGAAAGTATCGATTTTACTTGGCAATTCGAGAACCAGAGGAACTTAGTATTGGCATTTCTGACGAGGTTAAGATGACTGGCAGAGGCATGTGACTTTGGTTTAACCCTGAATGAGATGCTGAGAGACTGTTTCATGTAGGATTAATGATGTAACTGTGCAAACTCCTATTAGCTGAAGCCCTACTGGACTTCAGATGGGCATACAACTAGTTTTATTTTTGGAAAATGCGGCAAGTGGAGCATAAGAGTTGTGCAGTTTTCTGTTGGAAGTGGACACCCTTGCCAGTCTGACTGAGCTTGGGGAACACCACTTGACTGAAGGCCATTACTTAGCCTAACTCAGGACATATCCTGAACAGAGCGACTCTAGGTCAGCCCAAAGCAAAACCACGAAACAAAGCCAAGCCTTGGCCAAATTGTTAAAATTTTCTTCAGAATGTTGGCAAGGTAGCCATTGTAGTCACTTCATGTGAACTGGAGACAGCCAATGAGTCCCACTATACCTAAATTGAGTAAGAGAACTCATAGGCCGGTATCCAGGAGAGTGCATACCTTGCAAAGTCCACTTACATCTAGTTAACAATAGTCAAATTGCTTAGCAACATCCAAATCAGAACTAATCAAAATTAACAGTCGGTTAAGTGGTCACCTGGTTCTAATGAAGGTGGCTACCGGCGCAGCCGTTTCAGTGATTGCGGAACCAGTCTTTAAGAAAATTTGCTCTGGACTCCAACCCTTAAAAGATCTCAGCTAGACTGAGAACCTATACCAGGCAATCTTTACAGGTTAAGGGCACAACTTTGGTTCTAATCTCTTAGGAGAAGCAGCTGGTTCAGTTACCACTGATTGTAGTAAAAAGGCTCAGGCCCAAGCTTGATGGGGTGAAACTGTTGAGGAAGATTCACCATGATTGGCTCAACATTTTTTGATTAGAAAATGGCTGCCTGAGTGTAGTCCTATTTAAATACCCGGAAATTTTTCAGGAAGGTCTACAGACTATAAAAGGAGCCGCGGCCACCTTGCATGTCGACCAGGAAGCAATTCCATGGTTCTGTAAAGCCCGCCCAGTGCCATTTGCCTCATGGGCAAAAGTAGAGGCAGAAATCAGAAGGTTGGAAAGTAAAGGAATCGTCAAATCAGTCCATTTGCGGAATGGGTGGTGTCAGTCATACTGATTGTGAAGTAGGGTGGGTCAGTTTGCCTATGTAGAGATTTTAAACAAACAACAGAACGCTTTTCACAGCTGGATAAATACCCAATCCCTTGCTTAGAGGACTTAGATGCAATGCTGGCAGGGGACTATCCTTCACAAAGCTGGACATGACCCATGCATACAATTGCAGTTAAATGAGAATTCCCAGAAGTACGCTACAATTAATACCAATAAGAGCTTGTCCCAATATACAAGACTGCCATTTGGGATATCTTCAACCTGTGCAATTTTTCAGCAGACAATGGAGAACATTTTACAAGGTCTACCCTAGGTGGCCATTTACCTATCTTGACGTGCTAATAATAGGAAAGACCAATAAGGAGCACTTAGAGAACTTGGACATATTCCTCAGACGTTTCTTCTAGGCAGCCGTACGCCTTAGAAGGGAAAAATGTGATTTCCAGGCACCCCTAAATGACCTACTTGGGCTACAGAGTTGACAAGATTGGGTTATACCTGTTGGCAGGTAAGATGAGGGCAATCAAAGGTGCCCCGGCTCTCACATCAGTAACGGAGCTTTGATCTTTCTTTGGCCTGGTGACCTATTACAGAAAGTTCATGCATAACCTGGCCTCCATCCCAGCACCTTTGTATCAACTCTTAAAAAAGGGTCAGCCTTGGAAATAGTCATGTGGCCAAGCTATAGATTTCAGGGAAGTGAAGAAACAGCTATCATTCTTTAAGGCGTGGACGTAGTATGATCGCAAGCGAAGTTTACTTCAGGGGACAAAGTTTGGCATGGCAATGGCCCTACATAGGTAAGAAGCATGGTCTATGTGAGGTCTGGTCCAGTGATGTATAAAGTTTGGGTAGGTGCTACAGTCCTGAATAAGGATGTGGACAATATGAAAGCTGCAAACTCGCAGACAGTGCAGGAGGAAAACGTGCCTGGCTCCTCGACTGCCCTTCTGAACATTCTGGAACCTGTGGACTCTCCATCTCTGTCAAGTGTTGAAAATGCATCAGAATCTGAGATGGACATGGCTAATGTCACTAACCTCAATGCCGTTGCCACCTGAAGAAGAGAATGAATTTCTTCCGAGATGCTCTTGACACAGCAGACAAGCCACCCGTATCAGAGGCAGATTTGGAAGAACCTAAACAGGTGCTAAAATGCCCTAGGAGGAACTACAAAATAAAAGAACCAGACTATGTCCTCTGACACAGAGAGGGAGGAATGTAGTGATTGTAACGAGGTCAACCAGGTGGATCTCATAGAATATAAATTCCCTGATTGGGGCTGTTAATCTGGTCCAATCAAGAAGCCCTGGCTGACAGATATAAACAGCAGTGTCAGAGGTTCTGTCTACTCTGAAAGCTGGCTCTGAGTGAGCTGGATCAGTGTCAATGACTCCCTACATGTATATAAAGGGTGACATGGTGTGAGATACCGGCCTCTGTCGAGTTATTTGAAGTTGGACTGTATTTGTCCGGGATCTTGTTTGAGCAAACCAGGAAGGGTAGGATTTTTCTTGAATAGTGGATGGTATTCCTTAATAATTTGCCATATCATGTGGGGTAGAAAAAGCTCCCGTTAAGTGGGTCTTAATATGTTAAGTCAGTTTTTGTTATACTCTTGTGTTCTAGTTGCTCCCATACCTGGTGATGGATATTATGAGGGATTATCCTGGTGTTCCAGGACTCTTTGTGGCAGCTGCATACAGTGGGACTTTGAGGTACTGTACATTTGAATCCATTCAATAATCCTCAATGTTAATGTCCTTGTTCTTTCTAATTGATCTCTCTAATGCTGTTTCCTTCAGTGTTGAAGTCCTGATTCTCTTTCATTGATTTTTTTTTTTTTTTTTTTTTTTTTAGTACGGTTTCGTCTAGCATCAATGCATTGGCTGCTGTCACAGTGGAGGACATCATCAAACCGTTCATCAGTTTATCGGAGCAGAAACTTTCTTGGGTCACAAAGGGACTCAGTAAGTAGAATTTCATGGCTACAAATATTCAGATACATGTAGAAACCACTTCCAGGTTGGAATTTCAGTCGAACTGGTAGTTGATCCAGTTCTTGAGTGGGAAATGAAGAACAATCTACCAGTAGGTCAGCATTTGTACATCAAACTCATTTACCAGGGTCTCAAAACTGTGAAACTGTGTTTTTGTCTCTGAATTTCCTTCTGCTTGTAAGTTGTACACTCTGAAAATCAACATAATCGTGTAATTGTTCCTGCCTGATATAACTCATCAGGGCTGGATATTTTTGGTGGTCTTTCAGATTTTCAGAACCCGTTTTGAGCTACCTTTATTTTCATCCGCTCTTACATGCAATGATATGAGCCCTTTTCTATCGGGAAACTCAACATTACATCAAGGAGGTCTATCATTTTTACTTACAATGCGTCAGTAGTGTAGGATAGTCTTGATAAGGGGCTCTGGTGGCCCAGTGTAATGTCCATACCTCTGAGCCAGGAGACCTGTGTTCAAGTCCCAGAGGTATGAAATAACATCTCTGAGCAGATTGATTAGTAAGCATAACATGATCGAGTTCAGTGTAACATTTGAATGTGAAAAGAATGAATGAGCTATTAGAGTTTAGGTAAGGCCAATTTCAATGAGATGAGGCAGAGACTGTCCACAGTGATCTGGGAAGATCTGCTAATGGGTAACGCAACAGAAGAGAAGTAGAGGATGTTTAAAGAAACATTTAACATAAGACAGTTGATACCCCCGAGAGGGAAAAGCTCACTTTCACAGAAGACAAGCCATAGATAACAAAAGAGATAAGGGACAGTATTAAAGGGTTTACAAAAATGCAAAAAAAAAGCACCAATCCAGTTGAGTGGGAAATACTACAAAGGCCAGCATAGGCAGAGCACCTTGTAAGAGCAATAAGAGGGATTATGATAGAAATCTACAAGGGATATCAAAATCAATAAGAAGAAATTTTATAGTAATGTAAAGGTATAGAGCAGTGTTAGTACATGAAAGACTGACAGTGGGAGTATTGCCAATGATTATGGGGAAGTGGAAGACATGTTGAATAATAACTTTGCCTCTGTGTTTACAGCAGAAATGTGGGATAACTTGCTGGAAATCCCAAGGAAACTAATAGTAGATTGGGAATAGGGACTAAATAATATTAATACAAGTAAACATCGGTAATGAGGGTTCTAGCCGACGGTATTTAAGGAAGTAGAGGACCACATTGTAGACACCCTAACTATAATCACTCAAAGTTCCCTAGATACAGGAGTTGTCCGTCTGAATTGGAAAATTGCACATTACTGTTTTTTTCAAGAAGGGCAAAAGAGGAAAACCAGGGAATTATAGCTCAGTTAGCCCAACATCTATGGTGGGGATATTGTTGGGAGTCTGTAACCAAGGATGGGGTAACTGAACACCTTAAATATTTTCAGTTAATCAGTGAGAGCCAGCATGGATTCATGATAGGTGAATCATGCCTGACAAAGCTCACTGAATTTTTTTGAAGAGGTGACTAAGGTAGTTGACAGAGAAATGTCTAAGAATGTGGTTTATATGGATTTGCAGAAGGAATTTAATAAACTCTCACGTAAGAGACTGTGTTAAATAAGATTGAAGCACATAGAATAGAGGATAAATCATTGACCTGTTTGAGAAATCATTTGTGCGGCAGGTGACAGCAAATAGAGATAATGTATAGGAATTCAAATTAGCAGGATGCAACCAGTGGTGTTCCACAAAGATCTGTATTCGGACCTCAATTATTCATATTGTTTATTAACAACTAGATAATAACATAGAAGGTCAGAGATCCAAATTTGCTGATGACATCAAGTTAGGAGGCATTGCAGACAGTGTAGATGATGGCATAAAATTACAAAGGGATATTGATAGACTAGGTATATGGGCAACACTGTGGCAGATGGAATTCCATGTAAGCAAGCATGAAGTTATCCATTTTGGACTGAAAAAGGGTATGATGTGGAGGTGCTGGTGTTGGACTGGAGTGGACAAAGTCAGAAGTCACATGACACCAAGTTATCATCTCAGGTTTATTTAAAATCACAAGCTTTTGGAGGGCTGTTCCTTCATCAGGTGGACGAAGGAGCAGTGCTATGAAAGCTTGTGATTTTAAATAAACCTGTTGGACTATAACCTGGTGTTGTATGACTTCTAACTTCGAAAAGGATAGATCAGGGTAGTTTCTAGATGGTGTAAAGTTAAATACAATGGATATCCAAAGAAACTTTGGGGGTCGGATATAGAAGCATAGAACTTTAAGATGCCATGAACAGGTGCAGAAATTAATCCAGAAGACTAGTGGAATGTTGGCCCTTTTAATTTAAAGAGAACTGGAGTATAAGGATGCAGAAGTTATGCTGCAGTTATATAAAACCTGGGTTAGATTCCACTTGGAGTACTGCGAGTAGATCTGGGCTCTGTACAGTGGGAAAGATATATTAGTCTTGGAGGAAGTACAACATTGATTTTAAAAGAATAATGCCTGGACTTCAGGGATTAAGTTCTGATGGGAGATTATACGAGTTAGGCTTGTTTTCTCTAGAACTTAGGAGGTTAATGGTGATCTGTTGGAAGTCTTCAAGACATTAACAGGAAAAGATGGGGTAGGTAAAGAAACTATTTCCACTGATTGGGAATTCTAGAACTAGGGAACGTAGTCTGAGAATTAGGGCCAGGCCACTCAGGAGAGATGTTGTAAAGCACTTTTACACACAAAGGGTAATATATATTTGGAACTCTATTCCACAAATGACTGTGGGTGCAAGGTCACTTGTTATTTTTATATCTGAGATAAATAACTTTTTGTTAGGCAAGGTATTAAGGCATATGGGCTGAAGGCAGGTATATGGAGTTAGATCACAGATCAACCATAACCTTATTGAATGGTGGAATGAGCTGAAAGGGCTGAATAGCCTATTTCTGTCCCCATGTTCCTAAAATATCTAAAACAGCTCTTTAGATCACTATGGGATGCTGCATAATATATCGGAGTAATTCAGCATGTCACAGAGATCCAGGGAGAAATGAGGTATTATTCTACAGAAGTTACAAGGGATTACTCTTCCTTGTGACTAGGCACAATTTCTTACAGCCTCACTGTAAATTGCAGGGTCTACAGACATTTTCCTGTTCTGCTCAGTATCTGGCCCTGTATATTGTAATGACAATGATCTGCGGCTTTGACAGATAAATCCCCACAGCCATCTGGTAAGAAGCATCGAACAAATAGATGTTGTCAAAATATTCTAATACTGGTGACAGTCACAATCATTTTGTGCAGTGGAGAAGGCACTTCACTAACTTTTCCAGAATGTAGATAGACACTATGAACATCTTAAACAATATCATTGTCAACTCAGATTGTTTAGTGTGGCAATGTTTCACAATTTTAATTAACTTGATTAAATTGATCAATCAACATATTTTATTTCTAATCAGTATATTCTGCTGTAAGCTCACCTCTGATGTAATGCATTGTTTATTGCAACTATCCCCAGTTGTAACATTTCACCTTACCAGCTAGTTTTATTGTACTTTATTAAATTGTTTAGCATTTCAAGGTTCGAAATATCACTCAATGACAAAGTGCAGTTACATTGAGCAGAATGTAACCAGCTGAGGTCTAAGTGCAACACAACATGAATTTGTGATAGTGTAGTGAAACATTGCCTCAGTTTAGAGAAAGAAACTCATCGACCCATCACTTATCTAATTAATTCTTCTGGATTTCAGTTCTCAGATCTTGCTGTCCCTTGCTTCCTCTCTCCAACAACTTCTTGTTATGTAAAAGACCAAAACAGCAGCTCCTTGGGTCCAGTATTCTGTTGAGGCTGCACTCTGTCAAGCTGGCCTTTCTACTTCTTGCATGAGCAAAAACGTGTACTTATTGGGGCTGAAATTCCAAACACTTATATTAGACTTGATGCCTTGAGAACTAACTTCAAATAACCACACAACATGTAGAAGACAAAACATTTTTCCATTGATGAAAACTGGAATAAAACGTCAATGTTAATGTTAAATTAAAGGCTTAATGCAACTCTTCACGAGATTTTAAGAAGACATTAACTCACCAAATTCCCAAGTTCAGTGTTATGTCTTACTGTTTTGTTGAACTGGCCTCTAGTAGTGTTTAAAAGTTAAATTTGAGTTAACACATTGGATTCCAAGATTTTGCCAGTGGAATGAAGACCATCTATATGTCTAAGAGATTTGTAAATCACTGTATTTGACCATGGATATGCTGCATTTAACAGGGATGTACTGTTCTACAATAGTTACTTATTTGTTTCATAGGCTTCTTATTTGGAATCATCTGCATTGCAATGGCTGCATTGTCCTCTGTGATGGGTGGCGTATTGCAGGTAGGATTTACCTGTGTTTATAGAAATAATGAGACGTCCCGTCACATTTACTGAAATTTAGCCTTCATCAGCATGGCCAGATCTCATGCATTCAGCATTCTTTCATTTTAAATAACTGCTGTCAGGGAGAACACAACTTGGCTGAGAAATCATGACGTACACTCCAACAATGCACATTAGTCACTCACCTCAACTTTTCCTACTGTACCAATGTGAGGTTTCCATTTCTCGTGCAAGACTCCAGTGGTTAGATTCTCAGAGATTGCCAGTTTAGGCCTACAGACCTATCCGAGAAGCTTAATTGAGAAACCTGAGAAGATCTTTACATCCAGAGATAGTAAATTGTTAATTCCATCAGTCTGAGCTGCATTTGGAGCCCAATCTAGTTGAAAGAGCTTTGTGCTGACACTGTTGCCAGGTTTGTATATTTCAATTACACTTTTTCCCTCAACACTTGTGCAAGTAGGAATTCCTCCCTGGATGGAGACCATACTGTGTTCCTGCTGCTGAATAAAAGATTCTTACTAATTCACCAGAAATAGTCAATTCATTATAAATTCATGGGGTATGGGTGTAACTAGCTGGGTCATCATTTATGCCCATCTGTTACTGCCTCTTCAAATGAGGGCTTGCTAAGGTTTCTTTGATATTCACTGATGGGATGTGAGCATCCCTGGCTGGGCCAGCATTTATTGCACATCCCTCGTTGCCCATAAGGTGGTAGTGAGCTGTCTTCTTGAGTTGCTGCAGTCTATGTGCTTAGAAATTTCCTAACAGATAACAGCCTGAACCTTTATCTCCATGATCTGAAATTTGTAATTTTGTGCTACTTCTTTGTACCTTTGTGTTTACTTGTGATCGTATTGGCGGGATATTTCCTATGGACCTCTGAATCTTGCTATCAGGCTCAAATGGGTATCAGAAGTCTTGAAAAACTTGACCTTCGCTTGGGAAATAGGGCAAGACAGGTGACAGGGGAGCACTTTGGGACCTGTGACCATACTTCTATTAATTTTAAAACTGTTATGGAAAAAGACAAAACTGGTCCACAGGTTCAAGTTCTAAATTGGGGCAAGGAGAATTTTGATGGAATTAGACAGGAGCTTGCAGGAGTTTATTGGAGTAGTTTGTTTGCAGGCAAAGGGACCTCAGGCAAGTGGCAGGCCTTTAGAAGTGTGATAGACAGAGTTCAAGGTCTATATATTCCTGTGAGGGTGAGGGGCAAGGTTAGCAGGAGTAGGGAGTCCTGGATGACAAGAGATATTGAGGCTTTGACCAGAAAAAAGAAAGGGGCATGGCTCGGGAGCGGGCAGCCGGGATCAAGGAATCCCTGTATGTACGTAGGGGATACAGGAGCTTACTGAAGAAGGAAATCAGGAAGGTGAATAGGGGGCAGGAGGTAGCTTTGGCTGAGAAGATTAGGGTGAATCCAAAGAGATTCTGTAAGTATGTTAAAGGAAAAATAATAATTCGAGAGAGAATAGGACTCCTCAAGGACCAAAGTGGACATGTATGCGTGGAACCGCAAGAGATGGGTGAGGTCTTCAATGAATTCTCCACCTTTGTGTTTACCGTGGAGAAAGACATGAAGACTTCGGAACTTGGGGAAATTAGTGGCGATAACTTGGGGACAGTCCAGATCATAGTACAGGAGGTGTTGGAAGTATTAGAATGTGTGAAGGTGGATAAATCCCCTGGTCCTGACCAGATGCATCCAAGAATCCTGCACGAGGCTAGAGAAGAAATTGTGGGGGCCCTGGCTGATATATTTGCATCATCGTTAGCCACGGTTGAGGTCCCAGAAGACTGAAGGGTAGCGAATGTTGTGCCCTTATTCAAGAAGGACTGTAAAGAAAAACCTGGCAATTATAGACCAGTAAGCTTAACATCTGTTGTAGGTAAGTTACTTGAGAAGGTTCTGAGGGATAAGATATACATGCATTTGTAAAGACAGGGTTTGATTAGGAGTAGTCAGCATGACTTCGTACGTCGGAGATCATGCCTCACAAATTTATTGGAGTTCTTTGATGAAGTGACCAAGAAGGTTGATGAGGGCAGGTCGGTAGACATAGTCTATATGGATTTCAGTGGGGCCTTTGATAAGGTTTCACATGGTAGGCTGCTCTGGAAGGTTAGACCACATGGAATCCAGGGAGAGCTGGCAAATTGGATACACAGAGATAGTAGGAACTGCAGATGCTGGAGAATCTGAGATAACAAGGTGTAGAGCTGGATGAACACAGCAGGCCAAGCAGCATCAGAGGAGCAGGAAGGCTGACGTTTCGGGCCTAGACCCTTCTTCAGAAATGGGGGAGGGGAAGGGGGTTCTGAAATAAATAGGGAGACGGGGCGTGCGGATAGAAGATGGATAGAGGAGAAGATAGGTGGAGAGGAGACAGACAGGTCAAAGAGGCGGGAATGGAGCCAGTAAAGGTGAGCGTAGGTGGGGAGTTAGTGAGGAGATAGGACGGACAGGTCAAGGGGGCGGGATGAAGTTAGTAGGTAGGAGATGGGAGTGGGGCTTGAGGTGGGAGGAGGGGATGGGTGGGAGGAAGGATAGGTTAGGGAGGCAGGGACGAGCTGGGCTGGTTTTGGGATGCGGTAGGGGGAGAGGAGATTTTGAAGCTTGTGAAGTCCACATTGATACCAGGAAGGTGGGTGGGAGGAGGTGTATTCTAGGTAGCTGTGGGAGTCGGTGGGCTTGAAATGGATATCGGTTTCTAGGTTGTAGGACAAAGGGGGTGGCCATGAGTACCCGCATGGGCCCAAGCTATGCCTGCCTCTTTGTAGGTTATGTGGAACAATCCCTCTTCAGTAGCCACACTGGCCCTAAACACCACCTCTTCCTCCGTTACATTGATGACTGTATCGGCGCCGCCTCGTCCTCCCACGAGAAGCTCGAACAGTTCATCCACTTCACCAACACCTTCCACCCCAACCTTAAGTTCACCTGGACCATCTCTAATACCTCTCTCTCCTTCCTGGACCTCTGTTTCCATCTCTGGCAACCACCTAGAAACCGATATCCATTTCAAGCCCACTGACTCCCACAGCTACCTAGAATACACCTCCTCCCACCCACCTTCCTGCAAAAGTGCCATCCCTATTCCCAATTCCTTCGCCTCTGCCGCATCTGCTCCCAGGATGAGGCATTCCACTCCCGTACATCTCAGATGTCCTCGTTTTTCTAGGACCGCAACTTCCCACCCCCCACTCAGTGGTCGAGAACGCCCTCGACCGTGTCTCCCGCATTTCCCGCAACTCATCCTTCACACTCCCTCCCCATGATAACAACCAAAGCAGAAACCCCTTGTCCTCACGTACCACCCCACCAACCTCCGGATCCAACGCATCATCCTCCGACACTTCCGCCATCTGCAATCCGACCCCACCACTAAAGACATTTCCCTCCCCACCCTTATCTGCCTTCCGGAGGGACCACTCTCTCCATGACTCCCTTGTCTGCTCCACACTCCCCTCCAGCCCCACCACACCCAGCACTTTTCCCTGCAACCGCAGGAAGTGCTACACCTGCCCCTACACCTCACCCCCATCCCAGGCCCCAAGAAGACTTTCCACATCAAGCAGATGTTCACCTGCACATCTGCTAATGTGGTATACTGCATCCGCTGTTCCCATTGTGGCCTCCTCTACATCGGGGAAACCAAGCAGAGGCTTGGGGACCACTTTGCAGAACACCTACGCTCAGTTCGCACTAAACAACTGCACCTCCCAGTCGCGAACCATTTCAACTCCCCCTCCCATTCCTCAGACGACATGTCCATCCTGGGCCTCCGGCAGTGCCACAACGATGCCACCCGAGAGTTGCTGTTCCTGCAACCTATATTCCGCTTGGGAACCCTGCAGCCCAATGGTATCAATGTGGACTTCACAAGCTTCAAAATCTCCCCTCCACCTACCGCATCCCAAAACCAGCCCAGCTCGTCCCCGCCTCCCTAACCCGTCCTTCCTCCCACCTATTCCCTCCTCCCACCTCAAGCCCCATCCCCATCTCCTACCTACTAGCCTCATCCTGCCCCCTTGATCTGTCTGTCCTCCCTGGACTGACCTATCTCCTCACTAACTCCTCACCTTTTACTGGCTCCATCCCCACCTCTTTGACCTGTCTGTCTCCTCTCCACCTATTTCCTCCTCTATCCATCTTCTATCTGCCTCCCCC